GACAGATTTTTTGTGTTGGCATGGAGTCTGAACCGGAGGAAAGGATAATTACCTCTACATCGTCAGCTTGGCTGCCCTCCACGTCCTCCTGATAAGTATCATTGTCAATGAGATGCATGAAAAGGGAACCAAGTGAATCAAGTTCTACCTCAACTTCCGGTTCATCTGGGTCGACGTCCAGTTCCATACTGATGCGTTCAGGTGCTTTCCACTTTGTGGTTTTCTTGACGGCTTTGGTTTTAGGGCGGGCAGTTTTTGCCGCTTTCTCTTGAGGTTTCTTCTTCCAAAACGGATCATCACCCTGTTTAAAACTAAAAAGAAGGGTATTCAAGGATTGTACAGTCTAAAGATATCAAGGGTAAAGCGGAGGGACAATACTCACAGCAGGCGGTTTGTTCTGCGTGTAAAAGGGGTATAGTCCGGTTTGGTGACAGACAACTTCTGATTTGTTCAATATCTTCTTGACGGCCTCAGTGACCTCTTCATCGGTTAGCTGAATGTTGGTATGACATTGGGAGTCCTCTACATCACCAGTATACTCGCACATTAAGCCGGAGCGGCGACTTAACGGTAAAATGCTCCAAGATATCCAATAACGGACAAAGTCTACACCTGTTAAACCGTTGGCCAAGAAGGCTCTCATCTTGGCGAGTTGAGGTGTGTACGGGGTCCGTTCCTGGGCACTTAGGCGTTGTGGAAGTGGATGAGTATTGGCAAGCCGGTGGGCCCGGTAACCCGGCAGAGGATTTTCGTCTTCAGGGGAGTTGTCTTTACAGTAGAACCAAGTTTGATTCCACTCTTTGGGGTGACTGTGCAGCTTGGCGTGAGGAAATTCAACCTCTTTTCTTTTTTAAATGGAGACCCCACCGAGTTCAGTATTGGGTCCGTCTACAAATTCGGTGCGCCGATTCAGGTGGAAGAAATCCCGAAACAGTTCCACAGTTGGCTCTTCTTGGAGGTACGCTTCACAGAAAACTTGAAAGTTGCATATATTGGATACCGAGTTGGGTCCAATATCTTGAGGGTGGAGTTGAAAGCTGGCAAGCACATCCCGGAAAAACTTTGACCTGGGCGGTTTGAAACCACGGCCTATATGATCAACAAACACAACTACCTCACCCTGCTTAGGGGTGGGAGGATTTTTTTGGCCCAGGAACGCGCCACCGGATCTCATTCTTCTTTGGTAAGGTTCTGATCTTGACCATTCCATTCAGTTGCTCCTCGGTAACCCGGGAGGGAGCCCAGTTGCATGAATAAAACTGCTTGGCCATTGCAAATGAAAAGCTGGAAAGAAATGCCGGTTTACAATTTATTCATAGTGATGCATAAGGTACAATAGCATAGAGGAATCCAAGTATATGAAATTGGTAAACCGGAGGCTGATATAATTATAAATGACAAAGCAATAAGCAGAAGCAGAGGTATATACATGCTATTAAACCGGAGTATGACGACGGAGACAAAGGATTGCCAGTTTAAAAGGGGAATAATGGTATATAATAGATTTCTTTTTACAAGGGTAAACCATCTATGTGATGCGGAAGGTATAGATCTAAGGCAAGAATGACTAAGTAAGGTAAAACAGGTTTCACAAGACTGCATTGAAATTTTGGATCTACCATAAGCCAGGAAAAGGAAAAATATTGAGACTCAAGAACTTGGTCCCAAAGCAGTTCATGAAAGGTCCAGATCAAGTTACAATGTATTTAAAGATTGGATCAAATGGTTGAGATAAGGACTTTCATAGTTACTATGAGGAATATATCAAGAACAAGTTCTACTGACTATGGGTTGACGAAGAACACGAAGAGAGCAACAGGAACCCGCCTGAACCCTAACGGATCTACAAGGAAAAGAGGGGAAGCTTACCGCAGCGGTTGAGGTAGCGGTGATGCACCGCATTTCTCTGATGCAACCAGGTCGATGCAGTGGCCAACGGAGAGGCAGAGGCAGAGTTCGACGACGGCGGCGGCGCTCGGGTGCAGGGGCGTCGCGAGGAGGAAGAAGAAGCAAAAAAGACGAAGGGGGAAAAGAGAATGACCCTTGGTCCTATTTATAGGGCGAACCGATAAGTGACAAGTGCGTGAATCGAGGAGCCTAAAATGGATAGTTAATAAGGATGTCGCCTCGGTGGTTGGATATTCAATAATGAAGGGTATCTTCGACTTCAATGAATAGATGACATCATGGCGGTTTACTATGGATCCAAAGGATGACATCACGGCGGTTTACCAGATCCATTGGAAGGTGCCAGGGCAAGAATTTTTCTAAGTGTTGAAGATTGATATGAACAAGTTCAAACCAATCCGGGGCCTAATGTTGGGGATATTACTACTGGACGTAAACTGACCAGGAGTAGCCGGATTAACTCCAAGAAGATCAGAAGCCCATGAAGACGTGAGGATGGTGGCGCTTTACGAAGGCCCAAGGCCCAAAGGTGAGTTAAGACCTGTAGATGTAAACCGACTTTATTGTATAACTTGCATTGCAAGATAGGAAGGATAGAGACCGAGCCGGACACGTTTATGATCCGGCCTCGGGACTCTGTAAACCGGCGGGCGTCAACCTGTGTATATAAAGGGACGACCCGGCAGCGGTTTAGGGACAACAGACAACAACTCGAGAGCCAGGCAAAGCGGATTCGCTCCCTGGTCATCGAAACCCCAGCAATACCAAGCATAACTAGACGTAGGCTTTTACCTTCATCGAAGGGGCCGAACTAGTATAAAACCCCTCGTGTCCCTTGTCCGGTTTAACCCCTTTAAGCTAACCCGTAGCGATGGCTGCACGACTAAGTCCTTTCACGAGGACATCTGCCGTGACAAACCCACGACAGCTCCTATGGTGTCCATTATCAGGGAATCTCCAAGAGCGACCCGTAAACCTCCCGTAACCGTTCGGACCAGGCTGTCCGGACCATAGAAGCCGTCTAATGCTGACCTGTATTGTTGCGCGGAGCGGTCCGGACGCGATGTCTTCCGCAAACTGGAGACAAACATGGGGGAGGTTTGCGGGAGTCCGAACACGTGAAATGTCGCTCTCCGTCCCCTGGCCTACCCAAAAGGAGGGCCGAGCCCGCACTTTTGTAGCATCCCGCATTGTTTTCGCGCCAAACTCCCCAACTGTTTCCGCGCCAAACTCCCCCACTCTCTTTTTCCACTCCCTGCCGCTTTCCGCCCAAGTCCCGATCTTTTCTCCCACCCTGTCCTTTCCTCTGCCGCCGACACATGGAACCGCCGGAGAACCTACCGGAGATGGGGGCGTCAAAGGTGCCGGAGGATTCGAGAATCACAATCGCTCGGAGCAACAGCTCGCAGACGTGGCAATATCGCCGCGTCAAAGCGAAGCCGCAAACGAGAAGAAGATGAGGGTACATTTGGCCGCCGGTGGGACTGGTAGTGGCGATGGTCTTGGAGGACGGCGAGGCCGTGGCGGACGCCGCTAGACGGGCACACCCACAGTACTGACGACACCATTGCTGGAGCGTTACAAGCCCTCGTACTACTATGCTGCCAAGCAACTCACAAATCCTGTCGATATGGTTCCTTACATCGTCGATGTTAACGTGGTGCCACTCTTCTCTGAGTTCTCTTCGCCGTCGCTCATCCGAGCGAGGACAGCAGGGGAAGAGCATATGGGTGCCCGCGTGTTGTTTGTCGCAATGCCGAGAGCGAGGGAGCCGGCGTATGATGCGCACATGGAGATGCTCGATATCATCCACGATGGGGGCGAGGGAGGAGGAGGGGCTATGAGGACGGGCTGGTGGAAGACTCGGATCCAACCAATTCCTACAACTACCAGCAGCAGCAGTCGTACATCCAGATGGCCACGCAGAAGTGCTACACCCAGACTAGCGATGGCACACAACAACAACAACAACAACAACAACAACAACATTGGACCGCCGGAGAGCAGCATCCGGAGGGGGCGGAGGAGGGGGGGAGGAGGAGGAGGGCAATGACGATGATCTAGATGATACAGCCGGCGATCCGAAGAAGAAGGAGAAAACTTCAAGATGCGGGAGGAAAAGCTGTTGTGCGACGCATGGTTGGCAACTAGCCTCGATCCTGACCATGGTAGAGCAAAAGGGCACAACCTTTTGGAGGAACATTCACATATGGTTCCATGAGCACAAGCATTTCGCGCCCTACTCTGACGCATTGATCCTCAACTGTGAGTGGATGTCACTCAATCATCGATGGTACACCATCCAAGAGGCCGTCTCCAAGTATTGCGGGCACTTGAAGCATCTCATCGAATGGTGGCCATCGCCAATGCGGAGGACGCCAAGATGTTGACCTTGAATATCGACTCTTTGGATGCTGACATTAAAATTATCGTACAATCCGTCCGTTATCAGACGCTGGAGCGGCAGAAAGATCAGTTGGCGGCGGTGCAAGATGAGGACGCGGCGGAGGCGGAGGTGGACGTGGACACGGAGGTTGCCTAAGCCGCGGCGACAACACCTCCTTGATCGGGAAGATCTTGCTAGGATGGCCGATCCGGCAGGGCAGAAATGCACGGACTGCCGGACTGATGTTCTTTTGGATTCCGGCATGTAAAATCTAAGCATATTTGCCTCATTTTGGTTGTGATTGGGGTTGCGATCTGGCGCGGATGTGAGCTGGCGCGTTATGTGGGTCAGCGTAGATTTGAATATAAATTTGTTGGTGGACAATATGCGGCTAGCGTTGGATGGCTGCCTCCCGCATTCATGTCTGTGAACTGATCCTCTGTCCGTGAACGAATGCGGGCGGTTTTTTGCGAGTTGGGTTGCCGTTATAGATGCCCTTATTCAACATGATGTCGTTTTTGTTCCCACGGAATATATTCATCATTTTATATTACTGTACTTGATTGACACTTGACCCGCGGGATAGTAGAGCCGCACACGCCTCCATCAGTATCTCCGCCGCGCGCGGCGCACATCAACCTACCGCCCGGGCGAGGTGGTTTGCTTGTCTTCACGTTATTACGGACCCCTCCCCCCCTCTCCATCGATGACGACATCGAACGAAAAGCATTCCACCACGAGAAAGGAAACCAAGTCAATGCGAACAAGAGAAGGAACAACACACGAAAACGTTGCTGGTTATTCCCCACCTTTCTCCGCCCACCAATCATCCTCCTCCGGCAGCACAACTCCGGATTGGCGTGGCCATCAAAGGACCAGGACGCGACTCCTCTCGTCTGCGGGTAAGCTCAACTCAAGCTGGCTGGCCTGTTCATTCGTCTCAGCTTGTTCTTCGTTTTCCTCCTGCTCGTCACCGCAAGAACGATCGCGGTTGACCTGCACCAATCATCATCGGTGGGGGGCATTCCCAATGCCGTCGATTGCATTCCATTACCGAATGAATGAATGAATGAAAATAAGTAGTAGCAAGAGCATCTTATACATGCCGTACGTGTTCATGTTATCAGGTTTGTTCTTGCGGACCATGGACGACGGGGACATAGATTTCACCAATCCGGAGACGTACCTGCACCCGGCCATGGACAGCTACTTTGACGACATCCTGAAAGACCCGGAGCACCTCGCATGTACTCACACCCACGCCAGCTGCAACCCGCATGTACGCCATGACCTTGCCCACCACACCCAGACCTGCGTCCATGTCCACACCAAGATCCTCCGGGAGGAGTCGGATGATGTCCCCGAGACCTCCGAGTCGCCGCAAGAGAATAACGGCCCCAAGAAGCGCCCGCCAGGTAACCGGGCAGCTGTGAGGAAGTACCGTGAGAAGAAGAAGGCCCACACGACTTTGCTGGAGGAAGAGGTGGCTCGCCTCAAGGCTTTAAACAAGCAGCTCGTGAGGAGGCTTCAGAGTCACTCGGCGCTCGAGGCTGAGGCCTCCAGGCTCCGCTGCCTGCTTGTCGACATTAGAGGGAGGATCGACGGAGAGCTTGGTGCTTTCCCTTACAAGCGGCCAGTGAAGAACAAGGATTTGGCTGACCAAGGAAGTTCCCTTGGTGGTGCCCGGCAGGTTAGGCTCAGATGCAACGATCCGCCCTACTGCAGTCCAGAGATGCAGGCCATGACAATGGATGACGATGATGTTATGAGTAGCGAGGTGTTGGGTCAAGGTGCCGGTGATATTGCAAACAACCAGTGGCTCCAAGGTTTGCCAGATGATGTAAAGAGGTGAAGGCAGGTTAGTTATACTTATCTTGTGTGTTCTGTAGACAAAATTTTCTTGTACAAATGGCAAAGCGCCTGCCTTTTTCCTAAAAAATAGAAGAGTTTTTCTTATAGCAACATCAATTTCGGGCAATAAACTGCTTGTTTACTTCTGCCTTTCTGTATGTTCAAACTCACATTAGCTGCTCATAGCATTACTGAATAACCTTTTCCAGGGAATGATCATCAGTGTGATAGTATTAATTCAGTTTGTCATTAGACACTTTGTTCATTCATTCTGATAGCTGCCCATGAACTTCATAATGCACCGGCCTTGCCATACTTTTGATTGTCCTTTAGACTGTTTTATAGTGGGCAGTTATGAACGGCTTTCATTAGTATGTGCATCTGATTCTTCACCTGGGAATAGTATGCTAAGTATAGTGATGACATATTAAACCCCATTAAGAGGCGCTAGAATGGTGCCCAACCAGCTACGCCATGTGGCGCATGCTGTTGGTCACGGTGAGAAAGTTTTTTAGATGATAGGCACTTTTTTCGAGAAAAGTTTTTCTAGAATTTTTCTTTTTCCTTTTAAGATTGTTGTGATGTCCACGTGATGCGAGAATGTTATAAAAAAATTTGACATGATGATGAGGTGCGCATAGTTTGCTGTCAAGTGGCCCGCAATGACGGGCCCCAACCACTAGTAGTGGACAAGCGTCTCCATTATTCTGTTACTAAATGTAACCTTTGTCCATCTCTAGTCTTCGAGCTGAAATAATGAGTTAACATCTCACTATGCTGTGGGGAATGTACAAGGGCATCTCTAGCCGATCCCCTAAAATTAGTGAAGTAAAAAAAATCTCAATTATTTTAGCCTAGCCACATGAACATCAAACAACTGCATAATATATCATCAATCATTCAAATATTTCAAAATAAACACACGTAATGTATAAACCATTAACAAACATTTAGTTTAACGGATGGAGATATTCAAATTAAAACACATCTGAAAGACATCAGATCATCGATCAAGTTTGATCCAAAATCGCCACAACGTAGCATGTTTTATGTTGCGGATCGAGGCCCAATGATATACACGAACTGAAACACTTTCCTCGCCAAAGAAATCACGCACCGCCATAAACATGGGCACACCCATCAGCATCATCATCACCACCACCACCACCACCACCATTCCAAAGAGAGGCCTCTGTTTGGGTTAAGATCTCCCCAGGAGTGAGCTCCCAATTTTTTTTGTGATATCATCCATTGTGTTTGGGTTCATGACAACAACAACAAACTCCATCATCCATGGACCGCACACCAATCAGCGGCTCACCGCACAATGCATAGACCGAAATAAAAAAGAAATCACCTTGTAGGCATTTAATTGAGCACTTGGCGGCCGTGGCCCTTGTTGCCGGCTACGGCGGCTGGACACCCCGGAGCACTAGCTGTAGAGGTGGACGGAAATGCCACACGAGCCACCGTCCTCTCAGCCACCACCACCATCACCATTCGGAAGAGAGACCTCCGTTAGGATAAATCTCCTCACAAGTGAGTTCCCAAAACCTTTTTTGCGGTATCATCCATTGTGATTCGGGTCATTACAACAACAGCAAACTCCATCATCCATCGGCCGGTGACAATCACCGCACAATACATAGGCCGGAATGAAAAAAAATACCTTGTAGGCATTTCATCAAGCACTCGGTTGCCGTCGTCCTTGTTGCCGGTTGCGGCAGCCGGATGCGCGTGAGGCACTAGCAGTAGGGGTGGACAAACACGCCACAAGAGCCACTGTCCTCTCGGCCACCATCACCATTCCGAAGAGAGGCCTCCGCTTGGATCAAGATCTTCCCACAAGTGAGCTCCCAAAACTTTATTACGGTATCATCCATTGTGGTTCGGTTCATGACAGAAACAAGAACAAACTCCATCATCCATTGGCCGGCAACAATCACAGCACAATGGATAGGCCGAAATGAGAAAAAGCAAAAAATTACCTTGTAGGCATTTCATCGAGCAGTTGATGACCGTGGCCCTTGTTGCCGGCTGCGGCAGCCGAACACGCCTAAGCACTAGCCGTAGGGGTGGCCCGAGACGCCACACAAGCCACCGGACAGGTACGAGAGGTTGAGGTGGCTTTCTTTTTCTTGTTCTTCGCCGCCTCCTCGGCGAGTGGCGACGTGGCGGCCGTCGGCTTCCTAGAACACTTGTCGCTGGCTAGAGCAGTGTGCTACCGTCGACAGAGACGAGGTGGCCACCCGGCGATGTTGCTACTAGCGGTAATTGCTGGTGTGGTGGATCGGGTAACATTTTTTTGTCCAAAACCTTTTTGAGTATGGACGACGGCGCAGGGGTGGTTTGTAGTGGTGATACGCCGACGGTGGTAGCCTGTGGGGTGGTGGAAGGGTCTTTCGTACCCATTCCAGCCGGAGCAGCAGTCATCGGTGGTGATGGTGGGTGGGAACGGTGGCACTGGGCGGCGCAGCAGAAAAGGTGCGGGGATGTTTTACTCGGCCGAGGTGGGGGGGGGAGTGATTTTGGGAGCCGTGTGCCAACTTTTCGGCATTGGGGTAAAATTCTTACTCCTCTAACCGATATAGGAGTTTGGACAGGTCCGGTTTAGAGGAGTAAACTCAAAATTTTACTCCTCTAACCGATTTTAGGTGATCGGCTAGAGATGGCCTACGCTATATCCAGTACATGCGGGTTGCGATGTACCTAGCTAGTTTGTGGCCTTCATCTAGCTCAGTACGACGCGCAAATCGTTTCCTTCTGTGGAGATTATTTTTTGCATTTTCTAAAAGTGTTGGTGTGGATGTTTGCTTCAGGACTCAAGTAACACTCATGCTACTGCTTTCATTTTTCATCATCTTTTTTGTCTCTGCAAGTGTTGGTGTGGATGCTTTGATCAGGACTCGAGTAACATGCTGCTGATTTTCTCTTTCAGGACATGCCTAACTGCTTATATTCCCTCTCTGGGGACTATTTGTTTCCGCTATAAGGAATACTACATTTCTTGCTTCTATCGGCCGGGTTGTGTTTGGTTCAAACTTTTGTATTGCCAATAATGCCTTGTATGGATCCTGAGGCGCTGCAAGTTCGATAGCTCCGATGCTACCAGGACATGGCTGTTCACGTTGCATTGTTCTGTTTTCAGTTATGTTCACGGAGTTTTGACAGCCTTGCTTCTGGTCCTAGATGCCTCCTTACAATGAGTAGATACACACCGCATTCGAAGTTATTGTGAACAATCAAGATTTCTGCATCCGTGGTTTGTGCTAGTTTACTTTTCTTTACCCGTCTATTTTTGAGATGTTAATGGTAATATAGCTAAAAATCACAACGTCTGACTCCTCTATGTCTGTGAATAATAAAAATCACAATGCAGAAATAGAAGAGTTTTTTTACCCCTCTATGTTTGTGATGATAAATACGTTGCTGGTTTATACAATTGTTCTATGGTAATTTTCAACTCCGTTCATTATTATAAGATATTCTAACCTTTTCCTGATTCGGATGTACATAGCACATTTTAGTTTGTTTATCGACTCATTTCAGTCTGTATATAGTTCATATTAAAATATTCAAACCATCTTATATTTGCGAGTGGAGGAAATATTAAATATGAAGAGTATATACAAAGAGTAGCAAAATATTACATCAACCAATGCCATTTCTAGGCCACATAGAAAAAGATGGAAATTCAAGTTCACAGATTAACCGTGCACCGCTTGTTGAGCTGCTCTGCTTTCAGAGGTTTGACGCGCATCATTGTGAATTTGAGCAGTTCTTTCAGGGTGAAGGTCCAGCTATTAGAGTTCTGGATAGTATTTCTGAAAATTTTGTCATTCTAGGTTACATATTCAATTTGAGTTGACCGCAAGTTCAATATCAGCAGTTGTTAGCCTTTGGAAAACACGTTCACTATAAATTCCATCAAGTTGTTGGTATGCCTATCCAGTTGTATCGTGTTTGATGATACAAGCAGAAGGATTCCACCATTGTTCTGATATTTTGTAACACAAACACGCTACCCTGACAATATTAGTCCATACTTGTGGTCGTTCCTGTAAGTGTAATTAAGACACTATACACCGATACTCGTGTTCCCCCACTCCTAAGAAGAAAGCCCTTTGTTTCATGGTATGCAATGTAAGAAGACAACGAAAAATGTGTCCCTTGACATAGCAGTACAAACTAACCACACTAATCCTACAAAATCATTAAAAACTTGGAATGACATCCTCGGGTGGTTTTGGTATGTCGTATTTGTTGTTTTTCTATCGAGAGAAAGGAGGGGACAAGTACAGGGAGGGCGACTAGACGACTTCTGGCCGCAATGCCTGCATCGGTGCCTTCCTCTGGAAGCGATCGATTTCCTTCATTGATTGCATGAGAGATAGTTCTCTGAGTTTTCTCATTGACAAGTTACCGTGCGCATGCAATAGGCATCAACAATAAAATGGCTTTGTGGGCGTCACCCTTACTTAGGTCCTGACCGGCTTCTCGGTTCTTCCTTGTTTTTTAACCAAATGAAGAACTTGACAGTGTTGTGATACCATCTTCAAGAAGTCTTCAGTGCAAAGTTCCAAGGAAAGTTAATGCAACATTGGCTGTCAAATGTGTTCTTCACCCACCAATATATTATATATGGAAGTATGAAATTCCATCAATAAATTCTTGAAGATCCAGAACTAAATTTTTGATAACCCAAGCATGATGAAGGTGATTAATGCCTTCATGCAAGCCTTACACCCAAAAGAAGTGAACCAGGCCCTAAAATTGTAATCTTCCAAAGACAACTGAAGAACTATACCCACGTCATGTAAGAGTACGTCTAAGGAGAAGACAACGACACGAGCAAAGGCGACACGTGGACCGCTGAGACACAATGTGCCTCCTCGGCTAAGGATCTATATGAAAACAATTCAAGGTTGATACTAAACATACTCCATGGATCGGAAGGTCGTGGTATCAATAACCTACCCCGCCAAGTCCACGATCCTCTCG